TAAACTAATAAAAACATTTTTTTTAATTATTATAAAGTAACGTGACCTAGTCCCTCAAATGGATCCAGACTAATAGGCTTTTGTGACCAATCTTTCAAGAACTTTATTTCAGAATAGGTACTTTTGTTAGTTTAGGAATATGTGCAAATAATAAACTTATTTACAAAATATTCCATAATAAACCGACTGTAGGTATTAATTATAAGTAACAAATCATTTTAACTTATTGTGAATTCAGATATTTGGTGTTTGTTTACCAATATCCTTAGAAACTTAAATAACAAATTTTCCGGGCTTTATAAATTTCTCTTACACACACGATTTGTATTGCTTCAATTTTCAACGCAAGCGTCTGTAAATATTTTGAAATAAACATTATTATTTGATATGACAAAATAGTATGTTAAATTTACTTGTCCAGTCATAATAATATTTATCTCCAACAACATTTGAGATAGAAATAAGGCAATAGCAATTCTCCTAACTTTAGGATTTCATACTGATTATGAATACATATACACAACACAGATAATATCTATTTCTGAGAAGAACCACGTATTGGAAAAACGGCATAAGAAATAATATCCGTGACTTAAATAAACATAATTAAAAGGACATTATTCTATTTGTACAAAAGACTGAGAGAGCAATTATTTACTCTTAAACATTAGCAATACATAAGGAGTATGCTAAGTCATTAGTGAGCAGATGAGCGTTATTACTTCGAAAGACAAAAGTATTTAACATTAGTAACTGACAATTCATTGTTAATGATTTTACAAACGTAAGCACATTATTAACTAAATTTATTTCGCATCAGTACAACACTTTTCCCTGAACCTTGAAAGTAATTACTTATGTATGTACTTCCATCAAGAAAATAATTAAACTGATGCTTCTAGCGTGGCATTTGAAATGCAACATTCACTAGTACTTTAATAAAAAAATTACTTCTTCACGAAACTACAGAAAAACTCTAGTGTTAACTTTTCATGATTGTATAAATACACATACATAATTAAAGATGTGTTTAGATTAACCGAATGAATGCTCACTTTTTCTGTTTTACTGACATCTTTTTGCATTTTTTTGACAATTGTTTTTAAATATATATAATATATATCCCATCGAAATGTAATTAGCATTTTTAATTTCGATACTGCGTATGTACATATCTATTGTAGGTAATATTCTTCTAACAAATATTATAAATTACACTAAAATCTTTGCCATTTTATATTTGTTTATGCCCACCTTTGATACTAATAAAAAAATAGTTACTAGTAAATGTTTGTTGATACTGATCAGTGGTAAATTGGTTGCGCATAGTTGTAAACATTTTTTTTGGTATCTCGTTGAAATAACTTAATTGAGTGTTGTATATCCATACATGTAAATATTAATGAAGGTTTTATTATCCTGACTATTATAAATGCGAATGTGTGTCAGGGTTACAGAAAAGGACATAGGGTACCTTTTATCTAGAAAAAATACTGTTCCCAAGGGATAGAAAAATTAGTTTTATGATCTTTGTCACACTGTAGGGATAGATGTGCAAGGGCAAAAGATTAGTATGCTTAGATTTGCAGATGATATAGCAATATTAGCATCTAGCAAGGAGGACCTAGAGATAGCTTTAAATAAAATGGAAGCGGTACTGACAGATCAGTAGTGTATGAAAATAAATAAAAGTAAAACTAAAATACTGGTATGCAAGGGAAGAAAAAGTAGGGAAAGAGCGAATATAAAGATAGGAGACGAAAAATTAGAAGAAGTGGCTGATTTTAGATACCTAGGAAGTCAGATAAGTGAGGATGGAAGGAGTAGTAGGGATATAAAGCAGAGGATAGCGCAGGGTCGTGTCGCCTTTAATAAAAAGAAGTCACTTCTATGCTCGCGAACGGTTAATTTAGAAATTCGAAAAAGGTTGTTAAAGGTGTATGTTTGGAGCACGGCGTTGTACGGGTGCGAAACATGGACAGTGGGAGCGGCGGAAAAGAAAAGGTTAGAAGCGTTCGAAATGTGGTGTTATAGGCGGATGATGAGGATATCGTGGGTAGAAAAGGTTAGAAATGAAGAGGTATTGGAAAGAATAGGAGAACAGAGGACTCTATGGAAGTCAATAAAAAATAGGCGAGATAGGTTGGTAGGACACCTTCTCAGGCATGAAGGTCTAGTCAGAGACATATTAGAGGCAGAAACAGGAGTTAGGAGGGGTAGAGGTAGACCTAGATTAGATTACTGTTCGCAAATAGTTAAGGATGTGGGCTGTTCTAGTTTTAGGGAAATGCGAAGTTTAGCTCAGGATAGGAAAGACTGGAGGTACGTGTCCAACCAGTCTTAGGACTGATGACCTTATGATGATGATGATGATCTTTGTCGCGTAGGTATTTATGACATCAACGAAAGCGAAGCCGCGGGCAAAATCTAACACGAAATTTTGAACACACATTGTCATGGGTGCAGAAAACGACATAGGGTAGGTACCTTTTATATAGAAAAAAATACTATTCCCGAGACAGGGAAATATTAGTTTTATGCAGTCGTCGATGATCTTTGTCTCTTTGACACGTATTTAGAACATCAACGCGAGCGAAACCGCGGGTAAAACGATAAATGAAAACTACGGGAAGGTTCCGGAATTAATCAAGAACGTATATTCTGTGACAAAAGATGGTCCATAAAAGCTACGTGTTTTAATGTGCGAAAAGGAGAAGTCCAAACATCGAAAAATATCTAAAATTTTGGCATCCTTAAAATTTTCGTGTTGCTTAAATTTTTTCAAGCTGGGTTCTGACTTCAAACGTTTAAGTTGTCCATTACCAATTCAATTTACAAATGTACAGGGGTCTGAATTGTAAGAATCATTCGAATTACTGATAGTTTTGGCAATGCGCCATGTATTTCTCGGATTCCATTCAGTTTTTTCGTTCCTGCACTACACAAGGGTCAAAAGTCACTAGATCATTCCGGCTATGTCTTAAACAGACAAACAACAACGCACAATTAATTACGACAAATTGAGTTATGAGACACGTAATAGTCCTAGTCCACCTACAACCTACAACTACTGTTTATTAACTAATTTTATCCATACACCACCGCTAATGTACTCGTTGAATTACAACGAATTTTCAGTCATTTCTACGAACCCGCGTTATAGTGTGTATACGTTACGGAGATGCGTCTCTTTTTTTTATTGTGTTTATCTTTATTCAATTTGTGCAAAGGGGTACAAGAGAATGGTGCCCATCAATCATGCGGTGATATTAGAACACAGAACAAGATACTTATAAATCAGGTAGGCAATGAAAATTGTTTTGATAATTTTCTTTGTCAAACGATTGACGAAAAACCAAAGCTTAAATTTTATCATATTTATAAAAATATGTCAATTTTGGTATATAGATAAAATGTTTAATTTTAACTTTTTATCCAAATTTTTTGCTGTTTGTCATATTATTTTCCTGTTTTCCGTTTAATTTTACGCCATTTGCTACGGCATTTAAAGCACACCCTGTATCTTTAAGGCTAATTGAAAGCTTTTACAATATCGCTGCTTTATCTGTTGCACCAGTAATTGATAACGATTTCCTCGCTTTTATAAATTGCTTGTTTTAGTTCTAGGATGCATCTACATTACTAACAATTAAAACTAATTCTGATTGTTTTAAAGTGGTTTTATCATGGTTATTTCAGTATATCTGAATTAAAGTGTTCCCGAAAATCAGGGACATATGTACATAACTACGAATGACTTGAGTAGCTCACACATTAGAAGTTCTGGTCAATGTGGTGGACCACCCTTAATATTAACTTGACCTGATATAACGTAAAATTTACAATAGCAAGAATTGAAATTCACATAATCCCAGCAAAATTATGCAGCATTTTTATTTAATCCGAATCGAGAATATTTTCCGGAATTTCCTTTATCTTCTTTTTAGCTTCAGTTTTGTCTTATTGCTGCAGTGCATCATGTTTTTTTTTTTTCATTCTTGTAATAATGCTTCGTATCGTTCTTTGTCATTTCGTTTTCGTCTGTTGTAATGAGTGTCACTTTTAAAAATAATTCAAGTGGCCTACACATCACTCAATTCTTTTTACCCTTCACATCAATATTGTAGTTAATCGGTATTTGGTTTGGAGTTGAAATAATTTCGCACAAACTAGACGATCCCGTTGAAACGGTAACATTAGATGTCTGTCCCATTATATACATAGAAGAAATGAAAGACGAAATTATAACTGAGACAATTTATGGTACCGATATAACGTACGAAGAAGATACCGAAAGCAACCCTTATCGTACCACCACAGAATTAAACAAATACTACAACAGAAGGTGGGAAGAAGATACACATAATAGTGGTAAGAAAGGATTACTAAAGTTATCCTACACGCCACAGATAAAACTCTATATCTGTAGAGATTTTTTTTGGTCTAGTACAGCGGTCGGGGAACTTTTTTAATCATTACCCCAAAATATTTTTGTGTAAGTTGATATTACCCCATGGCGAAGAGCAAAAAAAAACGAAAATCGCCTCTTTTTAGCATCTTTCATATTATAGCCCCCATGATAATTTTGAAAAGAAAACAGTAACTAAAAATTTAATTTAGACATCATTTATTCAATTTATCAATGTAATACCTAGTAATACATAACGGTAATAATAGTAATATATGTAATATACAGTTGAGGAAAAAAAAATCGCCCCCACAGAAAATATAAGTAAATGATAGTTTCTTGCTATTTTGTAATTCATATAATATTTTTCTTGTATTATTAGACGAAAAAACTAGTTTAAATTTTATATATAGCCCCCATAAAAAATATTTTTTATTTTGGAGAAATGATGTTGTTTCATGTTCGATACAATTGCTTCAAAATTGGGACTTTTTGATGTAAGAGCGATTTGAATACAGTCTTCGGCGTTTAATCGATTTCTGTTCTTCGTTTTTAAGTTTAAGTTGAAAAAAATACTAACAGGTTTATAAAATAGCAAATTAAAAATATATACTTTTTACTCACAAAAGTTTCATTTTTACCCACAAAAATTTCATTTTTACCCCATTTGGGGTAATTTACTCCGGTTCCCCGACCGCTGGTCTAGTGAGTTTAGAAATTAAAGAGGACGTTCTATTTTCGTGGTAGAAGGAAAACTAAATTTCTAAAATCCTTAAATTAAAAGAATCCGTTTTGTCCTTCCGCTTAACTAGATGAATGAAATAAATAATATTTAGATGTATGTCAACACATTAGACTTATATTTAAGGTCGCCTTTATAAAAATTGGAAACAACCCCAATATGCCCCTGGCAATCGCCGATATGACCTAATAAATGGTAATAGAGTTAGGCACATGAAACGACTCAAACTGGAGTGGAACGAAAATGGAAAACGAATAACTTATATTGTAAGCTATGATAATTCTAAGCTTGGATTTTGGAGAAGTTCAGCGCCCCAAAATGGTAAGATCGTTTGGTCGAATAATTATCCCTCTATGATCAAACACAGATAATATAATCTCAAAACGATTTGCTGTAACTGTCACAAATTAAGGCAGTCCGGGCTTTGAATAATAAAATCAGCGGCTGAATAAAATTTATAAAATAAACTACTTTACACAATTACAACTAGCGTGGGTGTATTTACCAAAAAACATATTGAATATTTAAATAAAACTCAGTTACACTTTTGTACCCTTGGAAATGAATAGCTATAGCCTGGAGTGAAAGTAGATTTGCATTAATATTTAATTTTGATAACTTATTTTTCTTTTTTGTTTATAAAAAATTCGCAAAGCATAAAATGCTTATGGAAAAATAAAGTTGAAAAGTTTTTTCAAAAGTTTACCGTGAAAATTTGTTACTAAAAATGGCGAATCCATGAAGTTGCATGTTCAGTGTTCCTCTTGAAAAATGAACTTTAATTCCGTTGCAAATATTTTTTCTACCGTTGTCAATAAAAAAGTTGTAACTATTGATTAGTATAATTTTGTTATATGAGAATTCGGTCGGACTACATATTATATTAAGTGACGCTCTTCAATCTTCATTTTTATAGATACTTTCATTTGACTGCGGAAACAAAAAAGTTATATTTTTAATTAGTGAAAATAAAATTTAACTTTTATCAGAAATAAAGGAGCTATTCAAATGTGTACCCTGTAAGTCCTTGCGTATAGTTTTTAATGTACGAATTTCTATAGGCATGACGATGGATCCCCATTTTAATCATTTTGCGGGTGCTATTCACGTAATAAAAGCAGTAGGGGGTCATCTTGTTCTGACATTTTGTCATCTAATGCCCGAACGACACTTATACACATTGATCCTTTCGAGAGATCCCGAAGGATTGAAGCCATGGGAAGTAGGAAGTGTGCATCATTTACTGTTGACCGAAGGATTACCGGTGAGGAAAGTGAAAAGGGTCTGCAGAAACGGAAGTGCACGAAATGATAATTGCTTGTTGGTTGGAATATTAGCATTGATTGGTACTGCGTTATTCCAAAAGCATTTGCTATTGTGAAACGATTGTTAGAAGTTTAGAGGGATTTTAAAATTTAAAACTTAATTGTCAAACAGCTAAAACTTTGTAATAAAATTACAGTAAAACAATAAAATATTACTTGTTAAGTATCGCATACTTTCCCCACTCAGAATGTGATATGCAGGTGCATTTACAGTACACTTTACTTTCACATTATATTGAACACCGTCCTGTACAGGGTAGGTGAATTGAAGTGTCTTTTTAACTTAGATTATAGAAGGTGGGTTTAATAAATACAGGAGTTGTTAGGATATATTAATCACACATCAATATCATCGATCTAATAATACGATATATACATTCAGTGACGATTGAGAGAGAAACCGAACATATGGCCATGACCTCTGAGATAGAACACCGACGCGAGGAATAGGGTCTTGGCTGACGTCCCCAGAGTAGGAAAAAATATTTTAATTAATATTCTGCTTTGAGAACACTTTTTACACTTTCTAATTTAAAATGTAATAGATGTAGGGTTCCTAGCTATAACATGAAATGAGAAAAGTTGAACATTTTGTATACTGTCCTATGTCCTAAATAGGTGTTAAAGATACTCGAAATACAATAATTTGATAAATTTGTTCTTAAGTCCTTACCAGAATCATTAGGATAAAACTAAAGGTTCTTATTTTCGAGGTTAAACATTCAATTTACGTAGTATAACAGTAAATACTTTCCTTTATTAAGATGAAAAGAAATTTTTGTATCCCTTAGGAACAGTATTTGTTTTCTGAATAAAAAGTACCCTATGTTCTTTACTGTACCCCTAACAATGTGTGTACAAAATTTCATGATGATCAGCTAAGTAGTTAAGGTGTGAAATCGTAACAAACAGACAAACTCACATTTACATTTATAATATTAGTTAGGATTTCTAAAACAAAGGAAGATCGATGCATTTTGTTAACGTCACTGAATACGTAAGTTTCAAATGATTAAGTCATGACATTATGGTAAATTTTACCCAAAATCTACAAGTCCTAAGACCCCTGTTTTACGCCCTGGCGTCATTCCCCAAGTACAACGACGATGTTTTAGTGAACGTCAGGTGGTACATACTTATTGAAACAAAAATGCAAGCTTCCGCAGCAACGTTAGCGAAGTACCTAGTGTATATAAATAATAATAGCTTCGAAATTATTTTTACGTGACTCATTTTAAATATGAGCATGGACAAGTTCAATTGTAAAATTTACGGCATCGTTTTACAGTACCCTAAAGACTAAAGCGATCTAAATTCACGTAGCTACCTAGGTATGCGCATAAACTACATGTACTTATAACGTAATAGAAAATGTCTTTTAATGTTAAGAGACCATTTACCTAATTAACCTCGATAATTTGTTTATCTGCGCATCATGAGAATTCGCAATTAAAACTAATTGATTACCGCCTTATGTTAATAATGCGCCACGTTATTTTTTGCTGTTGATATCGAATACGTCGCATAAAAAAACATGATATAATGTGAAAAATTAAAAACGTATATATAAATAATGTACCTATTTTAATTTTTTTATTTTAGAGTGACTGAAAAAGAAAAAAATCCTCACAAACTTCTCAAATATTTATTTAAAACTCGTATTAGCAAAACTGCTTAGATTTATGTATACAAGTAAAACCTAATGATTTTTGACATACGCCATCTACAAAAATAACCCCCTCACTTTGCTTGTGCCTAAGAACTTACTTTTATTTCTCTGTTTTGTGTTTATGACATTAAAGGTCAACTTCTGTGGTCATCACTTACCATTAGTAGTTGAAATGTACACGTTTTACTGTTTTCAAATTTGATAGTTAATTTTTAGTGGGTACATGAAACTACCTGAATAATAATACCCGCGTTCAAAAGTATTTCAAGTTGTGGAAGTTCGAATATTTCATATACATTTTTGGTCATAAATCAAAGTGTTATACCGAATTTGCACCGTTAAGATTTCCCTTATCTTTTTTGTCGGAATCATAAAAATGATAATTATGATACTTTAAACCTAAACGATTTGACATGATGAAAAAAAAAAACGTCCACACTTTATTTTTCACTTTATAAGTATTTTACGACCTGTTGCTTCATGATAAAGTGTATCAGAAAAATAATATCATATTATGTTTATAACAGTTTGCAAATATTTTTTTTTTGGCATAATCACGCGTTTTTTTTTTTCGTTCATATTTCCTTACCTTATACTAATTAAACATAAAAACATGAAAACACTTATATTTAAATCGCCAACTTGTGTGTAGATAGCACGATATAAAATTAATTTAATTAAGTCGCGTATTTAATATCTAAGAGGAAAAAGACTTACTGTTTTCTCGTATGAACTAAACTTTCTCAGAAATACAACAGGACAACGGAAATACTGGAAATCTTTGCCCGACTACGTGACCGTCCTTTAAACTGGAGTTTGATCGTGTAGGACATCAAGTATAAATCGTTTTTATGGGATTTTTTAAAAGTACTTATTATATTATTTGCCTTTCAAAATTAATATTGAATGTCATCTCTGTCTGAACAACTTCGAAAACTTCAAAACGCGCACGGTTGACATTATAATTTTTTATTATTTAAAAATTAATTCATGGTATTTTTACAACAAATTCCCAATGTCAAGATATTTTTTTAAAATCGCTTTTAATCACACTAAAATTTATGTTAATTACGGTGGGTGACCTTCAATAAAATAGGTCGTTGGAGGGTCAAAAACTAACGTAGCGGAGGCGGGAAGAAATGAGTTGCTTAGAAAGGTTGCCATCGTTTGAAAATACTTCATTTTTTCAATAATAAAATATATGGAACTTAAAAATAAAAGAGAAAAAATGTTTATTACGATATAAAACATCAGCGATCTCAATAATTTTATTGTTTTCGTGTAATTTCCTCTCCCGAAGAAAAGAATTTCCCAAATAATCCCTGCTTTTAATGACGACAATCTTATAAAATAAATGAATAATCAATAAGCAATTGCATCTTTTTATATAAGACTCCACCTGCACAAAGCGTTATTAGCGGCACATTCTTGCAAGAGTGCCTTTTTGTGTCCAACGGTAAGGATTTTATCAATCTCTTTCGGGACATCCTGTGAACATGTTAGGCAGACGGCAATTGTTGGCGACGCTTGGACGTCCCTCGTGGTACAGCGTCGCGACGCCTAGTCAACCACGGCAGCGTGTGCGACGCCGCCAAGCTGTAGTTACATAAAATTATTAATAGATCACTTTAACAGCTGTTGTAAACTATGATGGCCAGCTAATCGCCGGCGTATACGACGAATTCGAGAAATTTTATTTTGTAGCGGGAAAATGTGTAGAGAAAAATCGAAAAAAAACGCAAAAAATACAAGTGCGAGACGCCAGTGATTAATTATTGTAATTCCACTCTTAATAATGGCCTAGTAGTACCTACTAAAAACGTTGTTTCGTTTTTTTTAAGCAACTCCTGGAAGTTCTAAAAGGTAAGTCGCTAACACTTTATTTATATTGTAAATATATATTTGGGGTGTCCCAAACGATCAATAGCAGCAGCTCGTGTATTATACTGCCTAAGGAAACCGATTTTCAAACGTTAATAAGGCTTGCTTGTGTGATAAGTACCTACACTAAGATTTGTAAATTGTCTATAAATTTAGTTACACAAAAAAAAAGATCCGTGTGTAGCTGTCCTATATTACACGTCGATCAAGGAGTTTATTTTAGGAAATGTGCTCATGTGACTTTTTGTAAACTAAATTTGAGGTTAAGCTATTTTCGAAACCTTTTTGTCAAAATGAGACATGAGCCATGCCGCTAATAGTTATGTATAAAATATGAGTAAGGATAACTCTCGAGCAATAAATAGTAACTACTGCACTAAAAGGGATTTTGAGTGGATGAATTTATAACACCATTAACTAAAAAGTATTTTGAAACAACTTACCGATTAATTTAAACCAAGTCACTATAGATTTACGATTAAAAGAAAAATCGCCACCGAATAGTGTACCATTACCATTTAAAACTGATCATAATTTTATTTGTACTTAACATGACATTACCCATTATCGATAAGATAACATTTTTATCTAATGTATCACTCCTACGTTCAAAACTTCGTGTAAGTATTTGATTTTAACTCGCGATCAATCAAGAAAATGATTAATTACGCTTACATTGAACCAATAAAAAATAAACAAATAATCAGTACGTTTATTTATGCCTAGAAACAAATTATTTTATCCGTGAAACACCACATAATAGCAAATACTAATTATACTAATTATTATATTAATCTGTCGATTGAATGTTTTCCTCAAAATAACAAGACTACGTGCCGATAAAATATTTTCCAGAGAAACAAATAAATAGGACTTCACAATTACTGTTGAGTTCGTTACTTTAAATAATAATATTGGGCATTTTGTTAATTTTTAACGTTATTTTTGTAATTTTATGAAAAGGTTTTTAAAAATGGCACTGGTTATGCTCCCCTGCGATTTACCATGGTGGAGTGGGGTGAAGAAACACCTAATAAAATTGCAGAGTACAAGAAACACCATGGAATTAGTCGAACAGATGCTTAAGATTCACGAAATTTGCAAGTGAGAGATATTAAAAGGGTTCTGTTTAAACCAAAGTTATTGGTACAGTGAGTTTCAGCGTGAGTCTTGATCCCGACGAAGAGATCTCCGAACCCGAAATATTTGTTGGATTGCTCAACTTTTTAGATAATGACCTAACTAGCGAGGAACGTTGCAATTTTTTTAATAAGACTTTGCCCAACATGATCAACAGGGCGTTAAATTTGAAGAAGTGGAAGCCGAGGGGCGGTTTACATTTTAGTCTTCAACAACAGCGTATGTAATTCTCTATACGATTCCATTTAAATTTATACTAAAGCGGAATTTCAGTATTTGAATTGGTCAAATAAAAAATTTAAAGACATTTCAATAGCAGCATATGCAGATATTAATTTAAAGCAAAGATATTGATAGTAAATTTTAAAATATCTTGTGGTTCAGTCGTTAGAAAAAAAAAAAAATAAATAACAGGATGTCTCATATCCTACAACTTGTGATTGAATGTAGACTGCATTTAAAACCTTATGATGTTTTTAGCTGACTTAACAGAACTAGATTACAATTTCGCGTCGTCTTTGATAGCAAATGCATTCTTTTCAACTTTTCCTAATCGAAGCGAAAAAACTCATCCAACTTTGCAAAATTTCAATTTTACCCATTTCTTCCGTTATCTACATTTCAACTGTCAAAAGGCAAAATTAAGGAGCATTTTTTATTACTTTGATTGGCTGGAAGAAAATGGAAATTCCGAAGGAACCGTAAGGATATTACGACAGGCAAGTAAGAAAATAAAATATTAAAAAAATTGCTACTGTATTTTGTAAAACATGAAGAAATTTAATGATGTGTGACAAAAAGCCAAAAATAAATAGAGACAATATTAAGTCTTTGAGGAAACGCATAACATTGTTAATATAAACTGCAAATTATGCAATTAACAAGTAAGCTCGATCATTTTTGAAAATTACTTTTAATAGGTCATGTCTAGTAGAGAATGGTTAACAATAGAAGACTGGCTGGAATGCACATTACCTTTGTGCCCACTTCAAATTAAGCACGAAGGTCGATTAGAACGTTGTGATAAAAACTGTCTTCAAATATGCTTTTGCAGTTCGCGAATGGGTGGAGATGTTTTAAAAAACGGGTTAACTCAGGTAATACAGTTTACATCTTGAATTTTCTTACTGGCGAATGAATACCAAATTAATATTCCAGGAATGTTCAAGTTTTGTCACCATGCCAGAATTACTGTCGATGTTATTAACCGTAGAAGCATTAGAAGATAATGAAACTGTTATGGTGGAAAGAGTGCGACATATTACTAGAATAACAGACCCAAAAAATAAAGCCATCTTAGAAAAAATTGAAATGCCCTTTCAAGTAAGATATAAAAAAATCGTACTTTTTTTCCTCTAAAAATTTTACCTTACAAAAATTGCTTTTCCCTTGAGAAAGTTTGTACATTGTTTTAGACGTCTGTTAGTTTTATGGATGCCGACGATTACACGTTGCTCCCAATAGGTCAATACGAAGAGGACAACATTCTTCGGGAGTTGAACAAATGCCTACTGGCGTTTCAACAAAAACAATTCAAAAATGAACCACAACCTGCTCCTACTCTATCTCAAATGCACATTCAACGACAAAGGAGACTGTCCCCCATAGGGGAATCGGTCGGATCGAGCGATAATTCCGAGTCGAAAAACATTCCCTTAATAATGCACCAGTCCTGTAGTACGAGAAGCAGCTCTATAATATCGACTAAAAGTATCGATTACAGTAACATGGACAGACTTGTTGCTTTTGAGAACGACAGAAATTTCGAAAGGAGAAAACAAATGAGCAAAGAAGGGGTTTTCAATAACAGAAAAGGGCGATTTATTGTTCTTGGGTCTTCAGGTGAATGTTTGCCTGTTAAACGGAAAGAATCTTCCAGCGTTTACTCGAGTTGCAACTCAAGCGATGATGAATTTCATAGTGCCAAAGGAAGTTTTGACGAGGGTAAATTGCTGAACTAACATTTAAATATAAACTAAGTATGACTAACTTTCTCAATGTTAGAGGATGAAGAACAACAAAACAACCGTCGCTATAGTAATGATTTAGACACAATAGAAAGACGGAATACTTTTGCTCAAAGATTACGAGATGCGTTAAGAAGAAACGCATCGGCTGTGACAAGCTCAACAGAATCAAGTTACGCAGTCGGGATTTCAGTTGCAGGATCGGATATTCAAGACAAAGACATTAAGTAACTAATTGGTATATGCATTATAAAATTTTAACACAACTCATTGTTCTATCTTTAGGGTTAAGAGGGGCGGTTCTACGGGATTTGCTTTAAAAGAAGATTCTTTAGACGAGAACTTCTTAAATGAATCTCTAAATCAAGAGAAGCAGTGGATTAACAAATTTAAAAGTAAACAGTCCGCGTTAAGTAAAAAAGACTCTAGCAAGTCTTCGGAATACAGTTTTAGCACAGACGTTAGGTAAGTAACTTTTCATCTTTTATTATTTTCTTTATGATAACGCGAAAATATAATTTTTAAACACGTTAATAGTTCAGAACTGGAAGAAGTTTATGAACAATTTTCGAGATGGTTAGATGATCCTATTTTGGAAACGGACTCGGGAACGAAACGCCAGTTAAATGGAAGAGAGCTGGCCGTTGTTCAATTTGCAGGATCTTTGCTCAAAAGAACCCTTAGCGAAACTTTTGCAGGAGTGCCCTTAGAAGAAGGTGAAAACACCACAGTCAACAAAAGTGCTCTTAAACAAAACAAAACTGTTCTCAATGCAAGGTCTTTGAGTTTAGAACTTGCACGTCACAAACACAAGCTGGCATCACAGTTGGTATGTTATTATTAAAATAAAATCCATAGAATAATCAATATATTAACACGTGAACACCAAAATTATTGTGCTAGAGATGTGCTCAAAACAAAAGTTACTTATACACGTTGTCGTTAAAGCACGCAAAAAAACGCAAAAAGGTACCTATTGTATCGGTCTGGAATCGAACCCGGGCCTTTCGCCTGGCAGATTAGATGTCCGGCCTGTACAATATCTTTATAAGCATAACCGACGATTTTTTATTCCTTTAATTTTCCTCGTTTAACTAACCAATAATTAAAGTTAAATATGTAGTTGATTCGACTGGATTGAAGTTTTTTTTATCGTTTTTTAAAAATTGGACAGATACTTTGTGGTCAATTATTATTTTCAATTAACAGAAAAAAAATCCGTCATTTAATAACGAAGAATTGCTCTCCAGAAAAGAGCCAGATCTAACCGTTAAAAAAAGAGCGTGTGTGGCATGGGATATTTCTTATGTAACAGAAATGGTTCAAACCCTAAAGGAAGTAACGGTTAGTTTAATTCTTCGGCCAAAGAACGAGGTAATTTTTCTTAATTGCATGACTGTTACGTCCTTGTAATAAACGAAAAACAAAAGTTTGGGCTGCAGATTTGTCACAACCTTTTAAAATAAGTATAATTATAATTAATTTTTGTTTGTTTCCAATTAAATCAGTACGTAGCTTATTCCAGATAATGAAATCGGATGCATCAATCACTGGACAATTTTTGATAAGATATAAAATATCAAAGTAAAACCCAACTTTTTGTTTTGCAATATACCTAATGCATTTAAGCATAACTACTTATGGTTATAATAATGAAAATGTTCATTTCTGTTATATACCTAATAACTCCCAGCCTTTTTGTGTGCTGTTGCACGAAATCACGAAATACTTTACTGTTATTCGTCATTAAGCTGAAAAATATTTTTATGACTATGCCTATAATTTCTTATTAATTAAATACTGTTATTTATTATCATCGCTTTGCTTTATTGGTTTTTCAAATTTACTCTTAAACAAACGCAATTTTTTTTAATTTGTTCTTTATCAAATGTATTAAAACAATTAATATGTTTTGTATTTGGAAATAGTATTTAACAAATTCTTAAAAAAAATTAACGTACCTATTGCAAAAATTGCGAAATATTACGGCATTATTTTTGCTATTTTTTTATTTAAGGTTGTAATAATACGTTCGCCTAATAAAAAAATGCGTACACGTACATATTTTTTGCGGAAGTACCACAAATATTACAAGAAAATCAGATGACTTAATTAAAAACCGAAAATTTTATTCAAATGTTCAAAAACATGTATGTATATTTAAGAGCCCTCTTTAATAATATTTTGAAAATACCAATAAAACCAAGCAAATTTTTAATTTATTAAAGAGGAGTTCATATTAGAGATGGGATTTGTGGGTGATCGACAAATAGATAGATAGACGCTTGTATTATTTACAAATATTTTGTGGTATTTCGGTAAGTTTGAAAACATTAAAAAATAAAAATTTATGATGATTTGTAATACTGTACCCTCTTTGTTTTGCAGATGTCCCAAATTTGTAGTAGCCCAACACCCGGTTTGAAACCAGTTGCCACGGGCAATTGGGGCTGCGGTTCTTCGAGAAGCGGGGAAGTACAGCTTAAAGTGATAATACAATGGCTAGCAGCCAGTGTTGCAGGCGTTCCCTCCTTAACTTACTATACTTTTGGGCACGCTAAACTAACTAAATTGGACACTGTCTGCAGAATATTAATCGACAGAAAGTGGACGGTAAAAGACTTGGTTGAAGCAACGTTACAATATGCTTCTCATGTATTACTGGGCAGAAGTGTAAACGGAACATTATTTGAAGATTTAATTGGAGTTGAAAGAAGTTAAAGGTAACCAAAGTCATTAGAAAATAGTAACAGGGATGCAACTTCCTTTTCTTTCTACAAACAGGGTAAGAAGGGCAATGAATTATAAAAAGAGGACAATTTAATTTAAAAAAGGTTTATTATTTTAAACATTAAACTGACCATTACAATCAGTTTAATTATTCTNAAGTGATACACCAATTCATTACTCAATTGTAAATCTAGTGTTAACTGTACTGACAAAACAATGAGAGAGTTGTGACATATTTTGTAATGTTATTTTTTATAAACGATCTAGATGCACAAAATATCGTCTTCCACAATTTTGTAGTACATATACACAATTAAATAATTCATTAAGAAACACTATAAAACGACGTTTAAGGGAGCTCTTCTTGAAATAAACGTTAATAAAGACATGTTACGATTTGCTGTTAAAAAAGTCATTTTCAAATGGTTCGAAATAAACGTTTTAGAAAAACAACCCTCTTATTCTCCTCCCTACTCCTTGGCGATCATACAAGATGTTGAACTTCGTGACAAATTGATACAGATCATTGCAACCCTTTGTTAGGGTTCCCAAATAGGTCATTAATCCCACATCATTGCATTGCTAGAAATAGGTTTTTTTTAGTTTTTTTATTAATTCGTTAGATTTTAAAAATCCATAATCATTAAATTCATTACTCACATTATAAAAGTCTTGTCGAAATCTTGGACTCTGAACAACAGGCAATCTATGACACAATGAATAAGCCTCTCTGAGGATTTCGTGGTTTGGAGGCAATATACCTGCCTGAACTGCTTTCATATACTCCAGAACAAGTTTTACTCTAGAGTGTAACATTTTAATGGCACTATGTTGTGCGGTCAAATGTTCAGCAACTAAAGAATTCTCTCCTGCATCTGATGATGACATTCTTGCTACATGATCAACTCCAATTCTTTCTGCCTCCTCAGTAGCCAGTGTATATGATAATGGAACAAATAACATTGTGGCTTCACCATCAACTAAATCAATTACTGATTCATGCAATGTCACTGGTAGATACTGTAACATTTATAGACCTAATGAAATTAATGAACATTAACTTACAAAAAATTATTCACTTACATCAATATTTTTGTCATGAGGATTTAATTTTAATAAAATTGGACTCTCATTGATCTCACATATTTGCTTATGAACCTTAATATCACTGTAATTTGGTGCATCTCCAGTTGTATACCAACCAATAAAATCCATATCACTGAACACTTGTTTAACTATTAAGAAAGTATTTATTTATATTTGAATTTCTGTTAATAGTGATTGAGACTCACATTGGGCTTCCTTCATACAATAATATTCTTTATCAATAATTATATCGTCTCCTATGATACTGAACACCAGTTCAAAAGAATTCATTATCTCAATGTTGCGTCCTTTCTGTTTACCAATTAAAGCTCCAATAACTACAAGCAATACTTTCATGAAATAATAATGTTACTACCCTACATTTACAAACCTTGCTTGGGGATGCCCGACTGGGCTCTTTCTCTTGTCCAATGTTCCGAAACATTCATTATTACTAAGGGATGTAAAGAACATGTAATTGAACCTGAAGTACCCACAGCCATAACGCCTTTATTCTGTTCGGTTTTATCGCTAATTTTGTTTTCTGAGGGTATTTGTTCAACCTCCATCTCAATATTATCCTTTGAGGCACTCATGATTCAATAATTTGATTTTTAAAACTAAATATTTAAAGGTTTCCTACTGTTTGACAGCTGAACAATACTAAGGTTATGTTATTTAGTTCACATTCATAATAGCGCAGGCAACCAAACATACTTTACAACTAACAATAGTATAACTAAGAAAGCAATATTTAAAAAATTGTTTTACTCCAATTATTAATAAATAATGATAGGATAATATACACGGGGTGTCGACAGAACAATTTTTTTAAGAGATTTTTAATTTTTTTGGAAATATCTTACACAAATGAAAAATAGCTAAAAGACTAACTTTTTATTACAGTCGAATTAAAATACTCTGTATATTTTTCAGGTATAATTAGGTGCGTACATGAAAATTTTACTTATAATGCGCTAAAACAAAGAAATTAAGGAAAACAATTGTTAAACCAGCTTTCACAATTGCATTTCAAAATTGATATGACATAAAAAGCAGAAATGAGGAAATATACAACTTAAAGAAATGTACCCAGACCTGCACACTCGACAGTGTGAACCGAAAAAGCAACTGATTACATTATCCCTTACAGCCTTGGAGATTATTCTCTTTTTTGCTTTAACTTTATAAAAATTGTAGATCTTGCAACATCATATTTTTTCTATTGGTAAACATGTAACCCTTTACCTATTAATTGATCCTTCAAATCGCGAACGATTTCTTATAAACAATAATAAGACACTAATTTTTTGTGCGACATGCAGAACACAAATAACACCAACCACTAACAACGAACTAACTGTAATAAAACAACATTTCTAGAGCTAATACGACTAGGGAAATACCAAATAAATCGGGAATTTACAGTAATGCCGCAACAGTTATCAAAATCACCAGAAATTCGTTTCTACATATAAGCGGTATATGCTGTTCACATTATGTGGGGTTCCTGTTATGCGATGCTCACACTATCGAGTGTTTAGTGTACAGCTTGGCAAATTTAGTTTGTCGAACTGTACATAAGCGGGGAAGTCGCGAAATGCGTTCTCCTTGCATACCTTCCACTTTGCCATAGCGTATTATTACAGATTTGTTTGCCAAGCTGTATTTACAGATAGAAAAGAAAATTAGGATATTTTAAATTATAGGTAAAAGTCATTAGAATTTTGGATATGCGAAAATAGATATTTAAAGATGAAATACAATATGAATTAGTATTTTACAAGGTTACAGACATATAGGTATATGTTTATTTANAAATGTATGTGAATAAAGTTTATTCTTAATTCAATTACTCATAAAAATTTAACTACATACTAGTAAAAGAATTTATGCAGAAAACTTCCTGTTACTACTACTTCAAGTATGCATTGTACAATATAAGAATGTGTACCTTAATTAATGATCTTTAATTTCACATAATGTTAATATAACATTGTAATCAAATAAGGATAGATATGGTAACATACATACAAGGCACATTTTAGAATATTGTGATTTATAATTATATTACATGATATAGAACAATTTTCTTATTGCAATATACTGGCACAACTAACAGCAAGAAGTTTATGTTCAACTTTTTTGTTTTCAGAAATTTCATTTTCTAAGATTTTTTCCAATTCTTGAAGTTTAGATTGTACAATTTCTAAATCTTTAACACTATCCCCTGACATAAGAGCAAGTGCAGCTTGACCATAAACAGATTGTGCTACTGATTTAACTAAGTTTTCATATTTCACAATTTCACTTTTTAATTCAGCAGCTTGCACTCGTATAGGTATAATTTCTAATTCCAGTGCTTGTTCAGTTAACTCCATTTGTTTGATTATACATTTCCTATACTGTCGAGAAATTTCAACTATAATTTCTTCTAAAATGGGTATGAATTTCATCAAAAATTTCTCTCCCTTAAAAACGGCATTTTCGACTTCTTTATTCAAATCTTTAACAGGAATTCTTGCTTCATTTTGAATAATTCCTTCGTCATTTCCTTCTTCAGTTAGGACATCAATAAGGGGGATAAAAGTTAAATTTTTCAACTTACAACCATAGTTGTTTTTCAAAAATGCGATATTATTAAAAGCGTATTTTGAAGCGTGTCTTAATCTTGAAATTAATCGGAACATTATTTATCAGTAAAAAAATTTGGCGATAAAACTACAATAAACTTTATAACTTTTGTAAAAACATACCTTAAATTTAGTGTCATAAACTTACATTAACATTTTACGAATATTTGTTGGTTATCAGTGGGTATCAATTTGACGTGAGTTAGATGTTGCTATCTCTTTCTTATCATTAGCAACATTCGTAACGCATTTCGTAACTAATTGCTTCTATAGCTTAGTCGTTCGCAACGTCTTTCGTAAAAAAGGCATAACCTCACTAACTAGTAACAACAAGTTTTCTTTGAGTAATTCTGAATTATTTGATAAGTGCAAATTAGTGATGAAGGGTCTTGTTAAAATTTATCAGAATTTCATAAAGACATACCCTGTGTTTTCTAATGCAGTTCAAACTGCAACGTTAATGGCAACTGGTGATCTTATAGCTCAAACGGTTGTGGAACAGCGTCAACTTCACAACATTAATCTTAAAAGAACCATTCAGTTTGCATCAGTGGGCTTTGTTTTGGTGGTAAGCAATTTATTATTAATTAAAATTTTTTTTTGGCACATCAAGATAACACGTTTTTCATTAGGGTCCTGTACTATCAAACTGGTACAGATTACTGTCACGAATGGTAGGAGAAGAAAGTAAAGTGGCGGGTCTCAAGAAGATGGCGCTAGATCAAATTTGTTTCGCGCCGTGTTTTTTATATATTTTTTTAGTCACCACAAATCTTGTTCAGGGATTCACATTTCTTGAAGCTAAAAACAACGTTTCTAGAGACTACATTGATATTGTTATAAATAATTATAGACTTTGGCCAGTAGTACAATTAGTCAATTTTTGTTTTGTTCCCCTTCCTTACCAGGTTTTATTGGTTCAAACAGTAGCAATTATTTGGAACACTTATCTTTCATGGAAAACCCAAATAAAAACGTAAATAAGACAGAAATGTCAGTAACTTATAGACTCACCTCAGGCATCTTGCACCTTATTATGATAAGCAATCAAAAGTTGTTATTTTTTTACGTTTTATGAATATTCATTTTGCATTTTTACATATAAAGCTGACCATAGGTAACATATTGCATTTTCATAGTGGTATCATTTTTATTTTTAAGTTAAATTAATTTTTATCTCAACACATTCCTGAATATAAACAATATTTAAGGATGTACTGGGTGTAGTAATAAAGTAATTTAAAACACGCCTGTAGTCTTAATATAAGTTTTATCCCATCCAGAGTCGTACTAAGGCAAGGATGATGGGGAGGGTGCGATACCCCTAAGCGTTGATGCCGACTGTCTAATTGTACGTCAGGCATTTTTGTGCTAAAGTTGATATATTCAAGGAATGCGACTTAATTCATGAAGCTCGGTACGCCCCTGTTTTCATTCTAACATTTGCGTAATAAAAAAGTTGTGAATTAAACTTTTCACTGGACGAAAGTTATTATCAACAAGATAAAGTGTAAAAAAATGCAAAACCATATAAGTACGTCGCGTTTATTTTTAAGGCAGATTATCGCGTCCTTTACGGGAAAAAGGTTTAATTTAAAGGTTACGAAAAACTCAACACTAAAACCAACGGGGGAAAAAAGAAAAACGTAAGAAAGATAAGGTAGAAGGTAATTTATTCATGAAAGATTTGCGTAAATTTAGAAACCATCACGGATTTTACGTTTGTATTTGCTAAAGTTTTTTGGGAAATCTACTGGACTTTTACGATATATCCTCTTACATAATCGCCAGTTTTTATTTCCAAAAATCAGTAGAAATGACCCAACTAATGGATTTACGATAATTTAACGATTTTCGTTGTATATATAAAAAAAACAAGGGCAAGTTTTTTTGTCCGCCAAGGATAAACGTAGGTAACTGTTTTGAAAGGTTTAAAAAAACACAAAATTATAATTTTCTTTNAATAACAAAATTTTGGAAACATGAAATGCGTTACCAAACACTTTTAATTGTTTGAAGAAACTGGCTTATGCTATTTTAACAATGTTTTTTCCTCAACCTATGCCTACGAGTCATTATTTTCAGAGATAAATAACTTTAAAAACTCGATTAGAAATCGTTTGACAGATAACTCCAGTTCAGCATGCATTCTGCTAAAAGTAACATCTTACAACCCTAACATAAGTTATTTGTCATCTAATCTGCATCAACAAAAGTAACACTAATTTTACATTAATATAAATTACACGTATAATTTAAACACTGCAAAATGTTCCTATTTTTTTGAAGTAAATAAAAAAGTTTTACATACAATCACAATTTCTGCAGTAGTACAGGTTGATAATCGAATATAGGGATAATATATTACGTGCAATCACAAAAGGTAGCATTGCCTTTCGTTCTTTCGTGAGATAGATTATATTTGTTTCCCAAAATTATTGTTTACTTATCCATATGTTACTGGATATAATGAATATTTAGTCCAATAAGTGCAATTTAAAGTGTTGAAAAAAGATTTTGAGTTTTCGGTTGGTTTAAGGAAGAGAAGCAGGTGATATTTTCAGGTACACGTAGTTAAAAAAATATATTTCACACGACATAAAAAGAAAAAATGCCGCCAAGGAAAATGTAATTTCTGTGATAGGTGAACGTATTGCCGCACCTGTATACAGTTAGATACGTTTTACCCTTATAATTTATCTTTCGTGAATGAAACGGTATGTTTTCAAAAGAATAACTTTATCAATGTGTGGATTTCAGAAAATTTACTGTCTGAAAATTGATAAATACTATGGTAATACCTGCGTAAATGCCAAATTTTATTATAACAACCATCAACTTTATTTTCAATAAGGTTCTCAAAAATTTTTTAAATTCGTAAAGTAAATGTGGTTAGTTAAAATTTTTTATTTGGTAGAGATTCATGCTTCAGTTAAAAAAAGTCAATATTTTGATTAATTGTTTTGCAAATATACATGCATAGATTTAAAAATGAAGAAACGAAAAAGTTTGTGATTCTGCTTCTGGCACTTATTTAACTGACGAAGAAATGAAAAGAACCATTTGTAATTGCTTTTCACTTATAAATTTCCAGGAATAAATAAAAAAGGAATGAGATAGAAAAACCCTAAAAGCAGCAGACAAAAAGATAAGACGTCCGAATGTTTACACAGTTTTTTTATTTTATTTTACGTTATAGTTACGTGTGAAAGTTTTATTATAATTTAAGAAAAATGCACTATTTTTCAAAATTGTTTAATTGTCCAGAACTGTTATTGTTTTAACATATACAAAGGCTTCTTCAGGTTGAAGAAATACTGTAAATAAGGTATCTGAAAAAATCATTGTATGGTAGAACAATTGCTGTGGACATTTGACCAATTTTGAAACCTACTGTGTTTTCTTTTAAAATATTTTTTGTTAGTTTTGAATTTTACAATAGTTATGGAAATATTTAAATGGTTGTTAAATTTCTTTTAGTTTGTTACAATATATCTAAGAAACAGATTTATTTGCAATCCATATTATTAATTTATTTACTGGTCCTTTAGGTACTACTACTATATATATGAAACACTTTCACATTTAATAGTGGTTAATATCAAATATTAATGAGAAAATTCATTTTCAATTTTTCACCCATTATAAGTTAATGATCAGCTTAGTGGTCAGAGCATTGGTGCGTAAAGTCAAAAATGCCGGGTTCGATTCCCGGCGAGGGTGCGACAGCAACAACAAATTTTCCCGCATTAACTTGAGATAGTTTATAGTGGGTATAAAATTGAAAATAATTTTCATATTAATACTTTAGCGACCAGTTACCAGGCTTACAATTATGTCTTTCGTAAAATCTAATATCGCGTAACAAATAGTGAAAATAAAACAGAAACAAAAACTAATTTTAGTTTACTATTTTTTAATAAAGTTTCATTGTGTAGGTATAAAGGGAAAGCCTTTTTTTAAAGTACATAAACTATTTGCTTTCGAGAAACATAAAATGGAGTTCGTTTTTCAACACCAATACATATAAACATTATGTGTAGGGTACAATACGTACTTTTGTTAAATTGTTTTTCAAAACAATACATTTTGATTGGTATTTGATCTGCGTTTTTTTTATGTGTAAGCATAAAATAAACAAATACAGAAAATTGTGAACGTTTGTCCTTTTATTAAATCGGACAGATAAAAAAATAATGGGTTTTATGGTGTGAAAACGCAGTTACTTAAAATATCATAAAATCAATGTGCAAGTCACATTATGAATTCAAAAAAAAAAAAAAGAAATTAAAAACGTTTGTATAATGGTATAGTACAGGGATGGCGAACCAATGGCACGCATGCCATTAGTGGCACGCGACACAATATTTTGGGCACGTCACTAATATCAATCATAAAGTCTAGTTTCATATGGATCCAAAACTTTATTGAAACAAGGAAACTAATTGAAACAGAAAGATTGGCAGGTGATACAAGTGAAAATGCTAATAACAAAATTTTGGAAACATGAAATGCGTTACCAAACACTTTTAATTGTTTGAAGAAGCTGGCTTATGCTATTTTAACAATGTTTTTTCGTCAACCTATGCCTACGAGTCATTATTTTCAGAGATGAACAACATTAAAAACTCGGTTAGAAATCGTTTGACAGATAACTCCAGTTCAGCATGCATTCTGCTAAAAGTAACATCTTACAACCCTAACATAAGTTATTTGTCATCTAATCTGCATCAACAAAAGTAACACTAATTTTACATTAATATAAATTACACGTATAATTTAAACACTGCAAAATGTTCCTATTTTTTTGAAGTAAATAAAAAAGTTTAAGTTGATATTATTATTATTTTCCCAATAATCACAGAGACAAAATTATTTGATGGCACGTCTTTGACCTGATTAAACTTTTCTTTATGAAAATGGCACGTCGATACGTAAAGGTTCGCCATCCCTGGTATAGTACGAATGCATGTATGCTTCCCGATATTTTTCCTTGATAATAAGTTTATTACAAAATGATTCTTAAACACGTAGAAAAAAAGTCATTTGTAATTATCTAAAACATTAAAACTATATAGGTATTTATTTTTCAAATTTTTAACTATTTCATATTTACGAAGCAAATAAGTTGTATAATAAAAAATATTCTGCACGTATTTTGAAGCTTCCACCACGTAAAATTGTTGTTTGTAATTTCTATGTTCGGTCTACTTTTTACCTTACCTATATAGTTTAACTATATACAAATTCAATAAGAAATTTTGTTTGGTCAAATTCTGTAAACAATTTTTTTTAGTTTTTACTCTTATGTGGTAGTGTTATCATTTTAAAGTTTGACTGCGAATTTCTGATTAAGATTAATTCTACGTCACGCATAACAACTTAAAATAATGCGAAAATAAAAAGATTTGCGCTCAATATATATCCTACTTTTATACGCTTAGTACGAATGTGTCCAAATATATATATATCTTTCTCAATGATAATAATATTAATATGTTTTCAATAAATAGTAGCCGAAAAAGGGTGAAATGTCTTTTATAAAACCTTCGACTAAAAAAGCGAAACGCTTTTGGGGATTACTTAACAAATAAAGAACATTTCCTTCCTTTTCGGCTTCTTTTCATTGAGAAAATATGATATAGAAAGTTCTGACCCTTATGCTGGCTAACTTTGAATATCATACGTTATGGCAGAACCCAGATGCATTGCCTAATTCAAGATTTTGCGGTGTTTTCATTTAATGATGTAAAGATATCTATTACTTTGTTGAAATCTAGAGTTTTTGTAATTTTTCCCTCGATAAACATGCAATTGGTAAGCCAATTTTTTTCTTTTAAATTAACAAATTTGCTATCAAACACAGTACAGTTCTTTAAAATTTGCGATGATGGTAAAACATTTTTTCTTTTCTATTATAAATTTTTTTTTAAAATACTTTCGGCTAAGTAAATTAACGCGTACCAGGATCATTTTGTTTGTATAATTGTTAAATATCATTTTTTTTTTTTAAAAATATATGCGTCATACACTAATATTACCACGGAACGTGTTGAGTTTTGTCTGAGTCATGTGAGATTAGATTATATTTGTGGTTTTACATTGTCATTTTTACGGAATTGAAAGCATCTTGGACTACAAGGAACTGAAAATCTGTAACGGCGTGGCACCCAACCCAAAAGATAAGCTGAGGGCGACCGCCCTGTACAACAGCTACATTTTTTAAAAAATCTTTAGGGGATCGTAAGTGATAAAACAGTTTAATAAGTCAGTAAGTATTAATTTTGAAGTTAATAAATTATCAAACTGTTTTATTTGTCGACGTTGTTGTTTACGAATTAAATTCTCCCATATTATTTATAATTAAAGAGGAAAAAGAGGAAAAGTGTTAAATATTATTAAAGTTTAAAAGGTATAGGTATGTGTAGGTTTTCGGAAAAATCATTGTGTTAGTGTGGTAGTTTCCATACTTTTGTATATCATTTACCAATGTGTTTCATCATGTAAATTTTTGCAAAAAATTAAAGCTGCTAATACATATTTTCATTTTAATTATTAACCCAAATAGCTTTCTTTGACTTGCTGTAAAATCACCAATATCAAATTTTCAAATCTTGGTTATTTAAATTGTTTGCCTCACACGCTTTTTGCTTTGCATGTACACATCCAGCAAAGAATAGAATTTATTTTATAAAATTTTCCTTAATTAATGGCGATTAAAAAAAAAGCATGAATTTATTTGAACATTTATTTTTTCCTACGACAGTTTTTAATCCTGAACTGACTAAACTTGTGCGAAACAACATGAAAACTTCCGACTTTGACACACATTATCATCACTAACTATCACTTTAAATTATATCTGGTTAAATGGCCAAATGAAGTGAATTAAAAACTGTTTTCCATATGTGTCCTTTTTTGGAAAATTTCTTGACATATGAAAGAAATTAATGAAGTAAACGAGGCGTGAAAATTGTTGCAAAAATTTAATTAAAAAATATGCTCAACAGGGCGAACATACGTAAAAGAGAAAACTGAATTAAACAGAAACTTGCATCATGTATTTTTTTTTTAATACTGTTGCTAACTGATCGTAGGGTAAATAGAGGATGAAGTTTCAGTAAATCTGGCGATTATAAAATTGATTTTTTTTAAATTATCCTTTTTTTTGTTTTCTTAATATCATCCAGGAAACTCGTAACGGCTGGGAAGTTAATAAGGGTAACCAATTTGAATTAAATTCAGTACAAATACATAAAATAATATCTACGAGGTGCAAATCACTAAAAAAAATATTACCAAAGATTATAAACTACTATTAATAATTTAGACTGAACTTGCTTAATGTAACATCCTAATTTTACTTTAATATAAATTACACGTATAATTTAAACATTGCAAAATGTTCCTATTTTTTTGNATTATGTGTTTATTCATTTTATTTATTAAACTTAAGCGAGCTCAAAGCTCGTTACCAAAATCTGGAAATAATATAATTTTAGTCTCGCTTAGGTATACAAGAACATTCAAATAATTCTTATACAGTTTATTTCGATAGATATTTAAAAAAAATATGAATATATTGTTTATTGTTATCTAAATAATAAATAGGAGCGTTTTAATTAAAAAACAAACTCAACAATTTCATACAGGTACCTATATACGTATCAAGCGATTTTCATTCACCTAATTAATGATCCTCGTATTTTGTATGTAAGTAATCTATTGTGTCCGTTTTTCTATTTTATTATATTTAATAGTAATTACCTTAAATATGCAGTTTTAATTAAAATTTCCTTATTCGAGGACTAAAAATGTTGACGTCCTTTCTGTTAAACAGTAGTTTGGATTATGCAGAAGAGAGACTTTTTATTTTTTTTTTATGAGCGAACAGATATTAATTAAGCTTGGTATTGTTATAAAGTGTATAAATATGTATTTACTTGTAGGTGTTTGTTTTTGTTATCTGAGAAGGATTCGTAAGACTTCACGACCAATTTATCCTGCGTATGGGTATTACATATTTTTTTTTATTTAATTAAGTTCACATGTAACATTTCTTTGTACTAATTCTTTTATTCAAATGTCTGTGTATTTGAAAGGTTACTCTGCCAACGCAGATCTTATTGATACATTTTTTATCAATATAAACTGACAGTAGATTAACATTTATAACAGTAGAGGTTGGCAACTACACCATGTTACTATGATTTCTGTCAAAAGCTTTATTTATTCGTGTTTATTCGTTTATTTCTTTGACTCATCGCATTGTCTTTTAACGATGATGTGCTTGATTTGCGAATGTGTAGCCATTATAGTGTTACAGTTCTTACGTATAATAAGTAAATAGGTTTTATCGTTACTGTGATCTATAATATTTATCGAAAAGAAAAGTTTGAATGTGCTAGTGTGTAATTTACGCATATTTAAGCTTGGAGCGATGGTAATAGGACAATTAATTATGGTAACTGGAGCCGAGATTTTGTGGAAAATTTTCGCCGTAGAAGGTAGGCGTTTCCTAATATTTCCTAACACATAAGCTTTTTAGCGAATTACTTTTAAATAAAAAAAGCTTGATTAAGGTGCAGATTAAGTATTTTTCAACGCAAAAGGTTTCATTAATGTTAATATGGGCTGTTTCAACAACAATTTTCTTTGTAATTGATTGCAATTAATTACTTTAAGATAAAATTAGGTTTTAATAAAAGTTACATTGTTTGAGATAATCATCTCATGAAAATTCTGTGTATGTATTTATACACTTGTACTTTTCAGGACATAACTGATATTGTTCAGTATCAGTTAATAATTAAGCAAAATTATGTTTCATATAGATCGTTCCACCTAAAATGAATTTTCCTTGTAGCTACATTCAAATAACATAGGGTTTTTAATAAACATTATACTAATTTTGAATTAAATTAATGTATTTTTGTCAATAGTAAAGCTTTAAGCACAAAGACACCCCTTTTTTTGCAAATCAATTTTTTTTACATGGTACCCATATAGGTAGCTATTTTGAAAGTGTTGTTATTCTTTCTTACTTTTTTTTTGCATAAATTGTTTACAGGATGTCTCACGGTGACCATTCGACTTATGACTTTATGTCGACTTTTATACGGCTTTCCTAATTCTAAAATTTAACGTTTTCGAGATATTTTTTTTTAAGAATTAGCACAGCAGTAGATAGCAAAAAAAGATGACTACTCTACAATAAGAAGGCTGGAGCAACATTATTCTCAGAAGAGATAGCTGTACCTTCAAGCTTTCCTTCCATACTTTCATATAATGTACCCATAAGTGGGTTAATTACGTACAGGGTGGTAGAAATTTAATGCCAGATTTAGTTAACTTCAAATAATTGTAAGTTCATTTTTTCAAATAGAACACATTGTATGTATTTCCATAGCCTTATATGGAATTTTATTGTCTTTCGAATGGTACAAAGGTTCTCTATACCCATCTCCTTTAGTTTTCAAATTATTTACTGTTTAGTTAGTTAGTTAGTCTTTTTTACTATTGTTCACCGTATTTTAAAAATTGATACTGAGCATCAAAATATTTAATGACTAAATATGTTTTGAAGTTCTGCTAAGAATTCGTAAAAAAATAAACGATTTTAGTTGCTTTTACAAAGAACAGTAAGTAATTTGAAAACTAAAGGAGATGAGTATAGGAAACCCTAGTACCATTCGAAAGACAATAAAATTCTGTATAAGGCTATGGAAATATATACAGGGCGTTCCATTTGAAAAAATAAACTTACAATTTTTTGAATTTAAATAAATCCGCCATTGAATATCTAACACCCTGTACGTAATTAACCAAAACCCCCCAAAGTACTGAAGGAAAGCTTGAAAGTATAGTTATATTCCGTAGGAATAATGTTGCTCCAGCTTTCTTACAGTGGGGTGTTCCATTTAAAATAACGAAGTTGATGTTAACCGTGAGACACCCTGTGTATTTATTATAAAAATTCTTGCATATGCTACCCGTGATGTGCAAAATATTCTTTTAAAAGTATGTAAATACAAAATGCAAATACTTTTTTGATTTATTTCAAATGTAAAATACAAAATAGATTTCCCTTTTGTATTTTAAATATGCTAAATGTTAAATACGTATTTTCAAAATACTTTTCTCAAATAAATACTTTTTTGTAGTCCCTATTTAGTTTTCAACGTTTACAAATATAAAATATTTTTTAAGACCAGACTAATAGTGATGTTTGCACTATAACACCGACTGCGAAGATTAAGTATGTTACACAATTTTCTGTTTGAAGTAATTGAGATATAGTTTTTCCATCTTTATGTTATAGTTTCTTCAGTTCAGCAACAAATAATTCTTCTATATGTTTCCTTATTTTCCTTTGTCGCCGTTT